AAAGCCTCCTACCCCACCATGAGCCCTATGGCAAGCCCTTCAGCCCCACTCTAGCAAGCTCATCCACCCCACAGTGATGTCATCTGCAGCTTTTGCACCATGTGACAAGGTCTCCCACCCCACCATGAGCCCTGTGGTGAGGTGATCTGCCCCACGGAAAGCTTTTCCACCCTGTGGCAAGGTCTCCCACCCCACAGTGAGCCACAACAAGCTGTTCTGTCCCACAGCAAGGTCATCTACACCCCGGGAAGGTCCCCTGCCCCACAGTGAAGTCTCCGGCCCCATGGAGGACCCTGTGATCCGCATACCGCCCTACCACTATGTCCATGTGCTGGACCTCAACAGCAACGTCACCCGCGTGGAGGTTGGGACCCACACCTACATCGGCAGGACCACGAGAGGTGGGTGCTATGAGGCAGGTGGGCACCTGTAGGTTGAGGGGGGTCCGGTTCCTACATCTGGCAGGACCAAAAAAAGGTGGGTGCTATGGGACAGGAGGGGATCTATAGGATGATGGGTCCCACCCCTACAAAATGTGGCTGCTATGGGGCAGGGGGTAGATTTATATGGCTATAGGGCGATCTAGATTTATAGGTGCATGGGCTCTCTGTGGGGGGTGTTTGGGGGGCTCTGTAGGGCCATAAGAGGCTTGAGATCATCTGTGGGATCGTTGGCACTGTTTAGGGCTGTGGGGAATGCCTGGGGGCTCTTTAGGACTATGGGGACTCTGGGCCCTGGGCAGCATTGGGGTTGTTTAGGGCCACGGGGGTTTGGGGGAGCTCTGCAGAGGCTCTCTCTAGGGTCACATGGATTCAATAAAGCTGTAGAGGGCCACAGGAGGGCTGTGGGGCTCTATAGGACTGGGGGACTTGATGGGTTCTGTAGGGCCCTGGGGGCTCTATAGGGCCGAGGGGAGCAACGTGGGGCCGCCCGCAGGGTGGTGTTTGCCCCCAGGCGCATGGTGATGGTGCCCCCCCGGCACTACTGCGTGGTGCTCAACCCCGTGGCCCGGGGCCCTACGGGGGCTGTGCTGGTCGATGGAGCGGGGCAGGCTCGTCTGCGGCACGCTGACCTCGATATCCGCCTGGCACAGGAGCCCTTCCCCCTATACCCTGGCGAGGAGATCCAGCAGGTACCTGTAGCCCCCTGTAGCAGCCTCAGTGCTCCCTATAGCTCCTCTAGCCCCACCATGTTCCCCTACAGGCTCCATAACCTCTCTCTGTAACCCACCCCTGTAGCGTTCCATGGCCACCCATAGCTCCTCTAATCCATCTGTCATCTCTCACAGTTCCTATAGCCCATATAGCTCCCTTTGCACCCCCCGTTGCTCCTTGGCCTCTTACAGCCCCGAGCGTGTCATCCCTGTTCCTACTCTGATCTTGTTCCCAAAGTGTCCCTGCATCCCCAGGCTGTCCCCCATATCCCCCACCACAAAAACCTGTGTCCCAGTCCCCACAGTTTCACTCCCCATGTCCCCTGCCATCACTCCTCTATTCCCCTATATCCCCACAGCCCTGTCGTGATGCCCATGTCACCACATCCCCCATGGTGACCCTCCAGATGCATCCCTATGTCCCGCACAATGACCCCCATGACCCCCACATCTCCTGCCATGCCGCCTGCATCCCCAGTGTCCCCAAGGTATCTCCCAAAGTGCCCCCCGCGCCCCTTGTCGCCACGTCCTCCGCATCTCCACTGTGACACCCATGTCCCCTGGGGATTCTCCCTCAACCCCATGTCCACATGTCCCTAGGACATCACCCCACTGCAGGTGGTGCTGGCTGACACTGCCCTGCGCCTGCGGGCCCTGCTTGATTTCAAGGATGAGGATGGAAACAAGTTTGTGGCAGGAGATGAGTGGCTCTTCGAGGGTCCCGGTAAGCAGGGGGGAGCACCTCCTTTAGGGGACATCCTGGGGGACCCATGGGCTGACAATGCCACCTGCCCACAGGCACCTACATCCCCCGCAAAGAGGTGGAGGTGGCTGAGACACTGCAAGCCACTGTCATTGGGCACAACCAGGCCATCCGCCTGCGAGCACGCAAGCTGTGCCTTGACCGCTATGGCACCCGCCGTGTCACAGGTAGCACCTGGTGACACCCCGGTGTCCTCCCAGGTTCAGCCCTTTCTTGGTGGCTTTGGTGTCACCTCGCACAGTATCGCCCTGTACCATTGGTGCTACCCCTCAGCACCCATGGGACAGACCCCTTTGTTGCCTGAAAGCACCCTTGGGACACCCTGTGCCACCCCACCCCCTACCTCTGGGACCCTTTTCTCACCCTCCAGCACCTCTGAGACCCCTGTGTCACCCTGTAGCACCCATGGGTGCTCCCATGTCATCTGACAGCACCCCTGGGGCCTACAGCACCCCCATCCCATCCTCTCGGACTCATGGGACCCCCAGTACTCCCTTTCTACCCCACAACATTCCCAGGACCCCTGTCCCATCCCTCAGTGCCCCTGGGATCCCCAGCTCTCCCATCCCACCCCCCCCAAACTCCTTTCTACTCTCTAGCACCCCTGGGATCCCCAACTCTCCCATCCCACCCTCCATAACCGCCCTCCCACCTCAGCACCCCTGGGACTCCCAGTCCCTTCCCCACTGCAAGCACCCCAGCATCCTCAGCTCCCTCAGCACCCATCACCCTGCTCCAGGTGAGGAGTGGCTGGTGAAGCAGGTGGGTGCTTACTTGCCTGGTGTCTACGAGGAGGTGGTGGACGTTGTGGATGCCTACATCCTCACTGACAAGGTACTGGGCATCCTAACTGTTGCCTCCTTGGTGCCCACGGGTGATGAGGTCCTTCTGGGCTGGGTCTGTGGGTCCTATGTCCGTATTCCCCTGCACCCATGGGTGACTGGAACCTTCCAGGATGGGTGAAGGGCCCCATCACCCTCTGATCCACCGCGACCCTGCCCCTTGTGCCTGTGGGTGACAAGGACCCTCTGGGGAGGCTGGGGATCCCTCCAAGCCACTGTGCTCCAGTGGCCCCTGCACCCATGAGTGACCAGGACTCTCCAGGAGGTCCCAGCCCCTTCACATGTGGTGTCCTTGTCCCCCCTGCCTCGGTGGGTGATAAAAACCCTCCTGCCCCCCCCGCAGCCCACCATGACCCCTTTCTTGCTGCATCCATGGGTGATGAAGACCCCCTGGGATAGATTTGGGTGTCCTGTGCCCCCTGTACCCACAGGGGATAAGGACACCCAGGATGGGTGTGTCAGTTCTCTTGCACTCATGGGTAACAAGGACCCTTTGGAATTGGTTTGGGAGTCCCTTGTCCTCATTCCCCTGCACCCATGGGTGACGGGGGCCCTCCAGGATGGATGTGGGGTATCATCACCCCCCTACCCCATCACATCCCTGTCCCAGCTGCACCCACAGGTGGTGATTACCCTTCACAGAGTCCCATCTTCCCTGCCCCCCACCACATCCCCATCCTTGCTGCACCCATGGGTGACAAGGACCTTCCAGGGGGTTGTACCCCCTCCACCCACCCCATCCCTGTCCCCCTGCACCCACAGGTATGAGGTCCCTCAGGGGTAGGTTGGGGGTCCCATCACCTTACCTCCCTGCACCTGTGGGTGACAAGGCCCGTTGGGGCCAGCTTTGCTTGTTCCATCACCCACCACATCCCTGCATGTCTCCCACGTGCAGAAAGCCCTGCACCTGAGGGCAACACGGACGTTTGAGGATGAGCGGGGCCGGGTGCGGCGCACAGGCGAGGAGTGGCTGGTGACCCAGGCGCAGAGTGAGGCCTAGATCCCGGAGGTGTTTGAGGAGGTGGTGGCCGAAGTGGCGGTGACAACGCTGGGCCCCCGGCAGTACTGCGTGGTGCTTGACCCTGTGGGGCCCAATGGGCAGCCCCAGCTGGGCCAGCAGCGTGTTGTCAAGGTGGGCACCCAAGGGTGGTCCCTGGGGACCTAATGTAGCCTTAGCTTGCCCATAGGTATCAAAGGTAGTCCTGGGGGACCCTAAGATGTGTGATGTACCATTGTTGTGTCACTGCCCCCTAAGGTGCCCTGAGAGACCCAAATGTGGCTGCCAGGACCTGAGGGTGGCCCCAAGGGACACCTGGGTGTCTTTGAGGGAATCTCATGTATGCACAGGTGTCCCCAAAAGACTCAAGGGTGGCCCCAAGTCCATTACCCCTGAGGTGTCCCTAAAAGTCCCTAAGGCATCCCTGAGGGATCCTAACATACCTTTGAGGTGACCCCAAGGGTCCCTAAGGTGACCTGAGGGCCCCAGGGACCACAGGTGGCCCTGACATACTTAAACACATCCCCAAAGATCGTAAAGGTGGTCTCAAGGGACCCCAAGACACCTCCATTAGCCCTGATGTCTTGCTGAGGGACCCTAAGCTTCCATAGGAACCCATGGGTGGCTACCAGGAACCAGAAGTTGGCCCTGACGTACCTGTAGACACCCCTGAAAGTCTTGAAGGTGGCCCATGGGGACCCAGAGACATCCCTGATGGACCCTAATGCACCCATGTCCCTGCTCTGAGTCCCACCATGTCCTGATGTCCTTCCCTCCTGTCCCCCATGTGTCTATGCCCCTACTTCATGTCCCACCATGTCCCCATGCCCTGCCCTATGTCCCCACCACTTTGCCAAATCCCTGTCCTGCTGGTGACTTGTCTGTGTGTCCCCAGGGAGAGAAGTCCTTCTTTTTGCAGCCGGGTGAGCGACTCCAGGCTGGCATCCAAGATGTCTATGTACTCTCTGAGGATGAGGGGTTGCTGCTCCAGGCGCTCCAGACCATCAAGGACACCAATGAGGTGGCCCAGGGGACACCTGGGGTTTCAGGATCCCCCGGGGGCACCTGGGAGAAGCTGGAGGGGGTCCAGGGAGCCTGGGATGACTGGGGCAACCAGGAGTGGTTGGGGGACAAAGGGGAAAGCTGGGGGTGACCCAGGAGTGGTTGGCAGTCATGGAGGATAGCTGGGGCCCCTGGGGAGAGTTGGGGTACATAAGGGACTCCTGGGGAATTATGGAGGCCCCAGGGGACACCTAGGGGGACTCCTGTCCTCATCCCTGTGTCCCCAAGCCAGGTGGGTAGCAGAGGGCCACGGGAGGAGTCCCACACTGTCCCCGAGCTGAGGGACTATAGGGAGGGTGTCCCTGACTCCACGTCTTCAGGCTGGCAGGTGGTGGAAGGCCATGGGGGAATGTCTCTGTCCCCATGTCCCTATCCAGGGGGTGGTAGGGGTCTCTGCATCCCCAGGCCAGTCGCTGATGCCATCCCCGCATTCCCAGGAGGGGACGGAGGTGACGCGGCAGGCAGGTGACCGCTGGCTGGCCCGGGGCCCCCTCGAGTACGTGCCACCGGCTGAGGTGACCGTGCTGGAGCGACGCCGGGCCGTGGCCCTTGCTGACAATGAGGGTATCTACGTGCGAGAC